TGATGCGGTTTTTTACTAGATAGAGTGGTTCAAGAGGAAGGTTTATATGTATAATACATTGCACCCGTGTCGAAGCCGAGGCGGGTGGTTAGTTTACCAATAATTCCAAGTTAGTTCAATAAACCGTTTTCAATTGCATTTAATATCTTTACGCTAAAGCAGTATGACTTCTAACGTGCGTACAAACGTAGACACATACTTTTTATGTGAGAAGGTGGCAAGCGAGCTGGCAGTTCACCACATTTGCAACACCCACAGCAGATGCGTTGCCACCTTTTAATAAAGGGTGCCACGGCTACCACACTCATGCAACCGCAGGAGTATAACCGATAAGTTTTCTATCCAAAGATATGTTGCAAACCATTGCTCAGTTACTGCGAGAGAGGGAGCCAAATTTAATAGTTCGATAATATCAGTTGGAGTCAGTATACAGGGAGATTTTTTGAGAAGTACCCAAATTCACACAGGAGGTTCAGACTCTGTAGTATAATCGTTTATTGAAATAAAAAAAAACATTCCATTCTATTCCCTAAAACACAGAACGTGTGGACAATGCGGTAGTCATTCATAAATACCTAAATTTTACTGTGCACGAACTTGTGTGCGTGTTAGTTATTAATGACCGCGCGTAAAATAAACGAGTTGCGTATAAATTACGCACTTTTTGAGATAAGTTCAAATGAATGTAATTAATTACTTGCGAGTGATTTTAAATGTTTATCATTTTCTATATAACATCATTTATGTCTTGAATTTAATTTAAAAAAATGGATACACTTAGAACATCCACCCTGTATAGAGGCGTGGTAAATCAGTGTCCTGGTGTGGTGCTCGCTTTCAATTCAATATTCTCGCCCGACGGTAATTATTTATTGCAATTGAAGTGTCGACTTGTCACGTGTTGTCGACTCATCGTCTTCAGCAGCGAAGGAAAACATCGCGAGGGAACCTTGTTAACCAATATTTTTGATATATAAACAACAAAAATAAAAAAAATCAAGGATATGCGAAGCCGACGATGATGTCATGCACGGCAGACCTTTGCTGATATAAAGAGTAATCCTTCACGCAAATACTACTGAATGGATTCTAATGAAACTTTACAATAATATAGCTTATACATCAGAATAAGACATAGGCTACAATTTATATACGTATTTTTATGTATATCTGTCTTTCTGTCTGAACGTTACGCCTTCAGCGTATTCTAGGCAGACGTAGACGCGGGCAGCAGCTAGTGAATCATAATATCGTTATATCTGTAAACCTACCTCGATATATCTACACCACCCTAAGGTTGACTGGTAGAAAATGCATTATGCCTTGGCATTAAGTCCGCCTTTGTTACTAGACTGTGCATAAAGTGTAAATAATGTTGGCAACATTAAAACAAGTCATTCCTTGAGTTTGTATGCAACACTAAAAGAAGTGTCATTCTATGTGGTATAAATGGAGCTGTACGAAGCATTTCATCGTGTTCTTCTTCGGCTGTCAACACGTAGTATATAAGATAGTGCTCCCCGGTATCAAAAATTAAATCGTTAATCGAAGATAAGTTATTATACCAGTGTTATTGGTGTGCAAAATAAACTACGGTGATTTGGTAAAAGTATTTATATTTCTTTTTTTTTTTTAATGTGTAAATGTTGCCAAGCGAGCAGACAGTTCACCTGATGTTAAGTGAATACCGCCGCCCATAGACATCTGCTACACCCGAAGGTTTGTAGATGTGTTGACAGCCTTTTTGAAAATTGGGCTCCAGATTTCTAACTTCTTCGCTCGATAAAACAAAGTAAAGCTAACAATTAAATAAAAAATATATGTTGTAAGCGGTGTTGGCTAATACCTGGGAAACAAACACCCAGATGCGAAACAACTATCCGTGGGCCACACAAATAGTTGTCCCGTGTGGGAATCCTCGACAACTCGACAACTCTCCACGGAGTCGTATACGCCATATACGCGAACTCAAATATCATCGAAATATAACGAACGGAAATAAACGGAGAAGAAACCAGAAGGTACTTCATAAACATTACGGCAAGTATAAAGCGAACGAAATAAATAAAAAAACCGGCCAAGCAGGAGTCGGTCTCGCGCACGAAGGGTTCCGTACAATAAAAAGAAAGACTGCAAAAAAAAAAAATCATGTCTGTTGTATGGGAGCCCCACTTAAATATTTTTCCATTCTGTTTTTTAGTATTTGTTGTTATAGCGGCAACGGACATACAACATCTGTGAAAATTTCAACTGTCCAACTATCACGGTTCGCGAGATACAGCCTGGTGGCATACGGACAGACAGACAGACAGCGGAGTTTCAGTAATAGCGTCCCGTTTTACCCTTCGGGTACGGAACCCTAAAAACCGGACGGGGAAATAACATAAGAAGCGTTCGAATGAGCAGCAACGTCGGGTGGTTTACATAGGGGATGTCCCCTTATATAGAGGGTGTCTCCGATAGGGCTAGTTTCGGGGTGGCTTTCACCCCCGCCTCTATACTCACCCTCCGGTTTCACCCTTCGCCCGTTTGGTCGCTATTGAAACAGACTAAACTACAAGTAAAACGTATTTTTTTTTTTATTTGAAACATCTATAGCCGCACGTACAACCGATTTCTGGCGTGGCGACGCATGCCGTGGCCACGGTATATATATATATATATACAGTCTATATGTAGTGTGTACGATTAATTACTCAAATTTAAATTAATTTTTAATAATTATCATTAATTATTAATTAATTAAATTAACTTTCATTAATTGTGTGTACTACCGAAGTCACTGATTAAACGAATTAAGTAGTCAAGATTTGAAATAAATTCATAAATTTTTGTATTTAATGAAAATAAATGTTTATTCAATAAAAAGTCATCGTCATCTGGAAAAAAAGTCGTAATATTTTATTTTATCATTATGACATATTTAGTTCCTATCACAATCTGTTCTTTGCTGCATATTACCTTTACAAAATAATGTCGATGTTTCACATCTGCCAGGCGTCACGTGACGGCTCACAGTTTTTTTAACAAATAAAACCGTTTAAAAACTTTTAAGTTAAACGGTTTTATTTTCTATTTTTTTTTATGCACTGAAAACTACAATATTGTATTGTCATCTAAATTAAATGTGTGTACCAAATTTCAGATCAATCTGACAACGGGAAGGTGCTTAAATTTCAATTTCTAATTTTGACCCAAATAAATAAACAAATAAATTCCGTACGGGTCGAGCTAAATAAAACCGTTTAAAAACGAAACAGACTTCAAATATCACGCGACATAGACATACTGAATAAATTTTTAAATAAATAAATATTACGGGACATATTTTTAGACATCGCTATCTAGTCCCAACTAAGCATAGCTTGTACTACGGGCACAGGGTAACTTCTAAACATACTTTAAAGTAATTTTCTTTTGTTAAATACATATTACAGACGTTCGAAAACATTATGTTCAAACCCACACCCTCTGGCGCAAGAGATAGGGCCGCTATCCACTACCCCCAATTGGGTCGGCAAACTACACAACTATAAACTTTCTATTTGATTTTCGGGATTTCCCTGATGTATAACGGTGGTAGGGCCACGTAGCAGCCTCGGCTGTTGCACGAATGGGCAGGCCCGTCCGGGTAAGTACCACGACCTCACAGAAGACCGGCGTAAAGTGGAAGTATGACAAATACTTTCGCGTTTCGTCTGGTGAGTGAGGTGGCCGGAGCCCAATTTTCAAAAGGTTGTCAACGCATCTGTAACCCTAGGAAGTGGAAGATGTCCATTGGCGGCGGTATTCACTTAACATCTGGTGAACCGTCTGCTCGTTTGACAACTTTTCGCATAAAAAAAAAGTATAATATAAATCGAAATAAATACTGAATTCGTTACTGTCTTATTTTCATTTCAATTTTCAAAAAAAAAATTCAATTAACGTCTAATGTATACTTTATTTAGCACCAAATTTATATTTTATTTTGTACCTAAAACTAATCGGAACTGGACGGAATGGTTTGTTCGTCCCCAAAATGTGTATTTTAGTTTCACAGCTAATATATTTTTTGCTTCGTCCACAATTTTTTAATTCGTCTCAAATACATTATTGAAATCATCAATGAAATATATACGTTATTTCGTCTGCAATATGTAATATACATATTATTTCTTCTGTAAACTATTCTGACTGCTTTCTTACTTCATTACGCTTATCCATTTCATCACAAAAGTATTCCTTTAATCTCTCCTACCTTCGTTTTTTTGTCAGTTCGTTCTCTATTTAATTCGTTACAAAGTATCCATTTCATTTCTAATGTCATAGTGACATATTGTCGGTTATCGGTTATCTAGTATCCATAGTACAAGCGTTGCTTAGTTTGGGTCTAGAAAACGCTGTGTAAAATGTACCGGAACGTTTCAGCTAGTACAAAATAAATTAACCTTCCCTATTTTTGCTCTCAAGCGAACCCATTTCAAATCGAAAATCAAAACGTTTTACGCAATTTTATTAAATGCTCTGTAGGGTAAAGGGACTTGGTGTCGTAATTCATTATTATTTCTATGCATATAATGGTTTTCTTATTCAATACCTGGTGCAGGTTTTTTGATAATTAATAAGAGATAATTAAATTTGAACTAAAAAATCTTAAAAACCAAATTACACTCGGAGTAAGTATTTTATTTAGAGTGTAGTTTGGCTCTCAAACTACTCCTAAAAAAAAAACCTAAACCGTATGCACCGTGGCTTAAGCACTGGTAAAACAAGTGGTCGAGTACTAAAAACTAAATTAAACACAATCACACCCTAAAATAGTATTACTAAAGAACAAAATGTGTTCAGTATAATATAGGAGTCTATGACCTAACCACAATCAAAGAAGAGGACCAGATCCCTTTTACTAGGATGACACCAACGTCGGCTGATAGAGTCTATGACCCCACCATGATCCTAGAAGATTACCAGGACCCTCCTAGAGTCACACTAGAAGTCTGAAAAGAAGGTCCACCTACCTGTCTCCGTATCCACGGTGTAGGAGAGTCCCGCCCAAGGGTCATCCTGCAGAGAGAGATAGAGACAATTTAAAAACATCTCCTTCGTTATGTGAGAAAGAGAAGGGAGCTGGGCGTACACCTTAAGTGGTAACGGCCACCCATGGACATTTGCAACACCCGCAGTGTTGCAGACGCGTTGCCACCTTTCGACAAAGTGGCCAACTCATTCATCGCAGAACTTTAACGCTTCTCCGATCTTCTGAGTGGTCGTACTTCCCTGGCCCTGCCAGTTCGTGCAACAGCTAAGACTGCTTCGTGGCCAACTTCGTTAGGGTGTGGCGGAAGCTATCTAGCTCAATGTGGTAACATACGAACGTATTAATTTTTATGTAAAATTTTGACGTTTCATAAGACCGCGCAAGCGTCTATGTGAATATATTTAATCTTGAAAGGGACGCCTGCAATAGATCTTCTAGGTCGCTGTGGACGTCTGGGACTCACTACTCTATCCCTACCTAAGAACATATCATAATCATAGCTTCCCAACGGTGTCCTGCACAATCTAAGTCCATGATGACTCCGTGGCGCAGTTGTCAAGGTGTTGGCTTCGGCGTCGGGGGTCGTGGGTTCGATTCCCACACGGGACAACTGTTTGTGTAACCGACAGATAGTTGTTTCGCATCTGGGCATTCGTCCGCGTGAAATTTGTGTTTGTAAAACGTCGTTACAACACAGGATAATGTTATCCTAAAGCGAAGGGAATGTTTCAATAAAATATAAATAGAAAATAGGAAAGGAAAATTTTATGCGTAAAGTTGCCAAGTGAGCAGACGGTTACCCGATGTTAAGAGAATACCGCCGCCCATGGACATCTGGTACACCCGAGAGTTCCCTATGCATTGAAAACCTTTTGAAAATTGGACTACACATATATAATTTCTTAGCAAGGTATACAGCTCTACGTCGCAGGTTAAGTTAAATAACTCACCTCTTTCGACTCAGGATCCAGGAGCGAGGCCTTCACCTTCTCTATCTTCTCCGTCTCCTCCATCTTCTTCTGGATCTCTTCCTCCGCGAGCTTCAGCTCCTTCGCGATCTCATCGCCGAGCTCCACCTTCGTGGCCTGAGGACCCTCCTGGTGCATTTTTCATTTTATTTAATTTTATTGGAAAACCTACAGCTATTAAGATATAATTGAGTGATTTAAAGTACTTAAGAAGCCATTTAAAAGTGCTCACATTAATATTGTGAATTTATAGGTATTATAGAAAATGATAATAAAAAATACAAGGAATAAAATATGCACGAGTGCAATGACATTAACTTAATAGAAAAAAAAAAAACAAAAAAACAACAGAAAGCTAACATTTTTTTTATGTAACAACGTAGTCTAGTTAGCAGTATCTGACAAAATAGTGAGGTATGAATTTAAACACGCATACTGTTCATTCATAGAGTAAAAAAAGTGAAGTAACAGCCTCCAACACATGTCCCACTGCTGGGCAAAAACCTCTGTACAGAGGTTATCGGGGCGCGGTCCACCACGCGATCCCACTGCGGATTGGCGTGGCGCAGTTGCCAAGGTGTTGGCTTCGGCGTCGGTGGTCGTGGGTTCGATTCCCGCACGGGACAACTATTTGTGCGACCCACAGTTAGTTGTTTCGCATCTGGGTGTTTGTCCTCGTGCAATTTATGTTTGTAAAACGTCCTTACAACACAGGATAATGTTATCCTAAAGTGAGGGCAATGTTTTATTTATAAATAATAATAATAATAATATTTGCTCACCGGTTGAACGGGTTCCTCCAGGGAGAAGCCCATGTCGACATCCTGCTTCCACAGCACCTCGATGAGATCCATATCCTGGGGAGGAAAGAGCAGGTTTTCAATCATCAGCGATGGGAGTTGGCACAACAGAAGCGTCATCTTGGAGCCAAATTCAACCCAACAATTCCCACATAATATGATCACATATACATACTCGTATATAGACAGTACCTGGATGACCGTGATGGATTTTTTTTCTGACAAAAGAAGGAATTTGCAAAAAAAGGGTGAAAATAATCATCTGGACTAGAACCAGGATCTTCTGGTTTCGGGACCGCCCGATTTCCCCGCGTTAGCTGTTATATTTAACTATTATATATAACCTTATATTGTCTGACCCGAGCTATACATAACCTTATAGGTGGTGGCGATATTACCTTCTTATTCTCTAATGATATAGTAGCAGTTTTTCATTGCCTGAAAACACGGGTAAAACTACGTTTTCTAAATATGAAATCTAGCTAGATCGGTTTATCGCCCGAAACCACCCGCATATTAAAATTCATGAAAATCGTTGGTGCCGCCGTTGCCGAGATTCAGATTATATTCGGTTACGGACCATGGTGCATTGTTCTTAACGTCGTGAAATTAAAATTAAAAAGTATACGTAGTCACATTTGACAACGTGTAAAAAATTCAAGACATTTAACGTAAAAAGTTACAGACAACTCATGTAAGCTTGATAAATTAAAGAAAGACCAATTTTATTTACGAGTACTTTAGTAGACAATTTTCTCTATTTTATCCCAACGGCGGTTCGTTGACATAAACGCAAGACGAATTCAACTATATATGATTTAAAAAAAAACAAGATAAGCCGCGATTGGCGCGCTTTCGCGTCGACAAGATGGCGGCGACGCCAAACATCGCGTTATCGACAAAACGATCGATCGAACGGAGATCGAATGTCCGATAGAATACCAAAGCAGACCCGATACGACAACATTACCTGTGATTTTACACGATAAAATAGCCTCCGACATTTTTCGGCTCTCCCCTTTAATACATTAACGCCCGATTTCTGAAACACTGATCGTCGTAGATGTCAACTAATCAGCTGTCAAATGGCTTTTGAAATTTCATTTTAGTTGCCAAAAGGAGGTTAAACTCTCTGAATTGACGATAATTATCTTCTTAATGATCAGAATGATCAAAGAGTTTTACGCTCCGATGATCAGTGTTTCAGAAACCGGGCGTGATTGTCGTAGATGTCAACTAATCAGCTGTCAAATGGCTTTTCAAATTTTATTTTAATTGCCAAAATGATCGGTAAACTCTTTGAAATGATGATTATAAACATTAACAAGATCAATCTGGTTAATTCATAGTTTTACCATACTTTTGGCGAATAAAATGAAATTTGACAGGTGATTAGTTAAATTCTACGATGATCACTGTTTCAGAAACCGGGCGTAATAAGGCGTGTGCATCTTCTGAAATTAAGTGCGGTACGTCGATAAATGTTTCCTATAAATATGAATGAATGAATACACTTTTATTGTCCACCGCAAATAAAAGTAACACTAGAACAACAAATTAAAAACATCATTTAAGAAGCCTCCTAAATATAACTACAATTAAGATACCTTTTTAAGAAAGAACGAAATGTTTGAAAAGGATAATGAGAACAGTAACGAAAAATTTGCAAATAACGCACCAAAAAGGTCACCAACTCAGCATTACCAGCAATGTATCAAAAAAAATTTTTTCGTTAGTTTGGGTTCGTTTTTAGTGGGACCTGCATTTTTTATGTGAGAAGTGGCAAACGAGCTGACGGTTCACCTGATGTTAAGTGAAAACCGCCGCCAATGGACATTTGCAACACCCGTTGCGGTTGCAAATGCGTTGCCTCCTTTAAATAAACTGGGCTCCGGCCACCTCGCTCACCAGACGAAACGCGAAAGTATTATACTTCCACTTTACGCCGGTCTTCTGTGAGGTCGTAGTTACCCGGACGGACCTGCCCATTCGTGCAACAGTGTTGCATGGCCCTACCACCGTAGTGGATGACCGAGTTTGTTTGTTTGCCATTTTTTATAGTATTCTCACTTTCGAGCTCTGTACGAAAATTCATGTGCGACAAATTTTTTTTCAGAATATGACATATCTATCTTATCCTTTAAAGGAGCAATTCTTGTATATATATTATATTTAATAGTTCGGTCGCTAATCGGGCGGCCCCGAAACAGAAGGCCGTTGTTCGTGTCACGATCATTTACATACTTTTTTTTAACTTTTTTTTCGATTCCAGATCATTGCTTTCTCATTTTTTTATTTTTTGTCCATCTAGATGATTTTGTTCTTTTTTCCTTTTTTTTAAACTTCTTTCTTTTGTGAAAAACACCAGTTCATATTTTCTTATTATTACGTCGGTAAGATCGAAAAATATTATGCATATATCATTACTCAGTAATTTTTATCTAAATGTAATTTCCAAAATACACGATTTACCAAAAAAAAAAACAAACAGGTCCTCCAGGTACTGTAATATATTCAACCATCTATCTATGTAACTACGATCTTTATTTACGAGGATTAAATAGCCAGCGCCATGTTTAATTGAGGCAATTTAAAATTAATAACTAATCTGTGGTGTGGCTCGGAGCGATTAAAAAAAATGGACCACGCTCCAATTAACAATAAACCTTACTATACCATAAGAATAGAGTATAAATTGCATTGTTCGGAAATACAGATTTTAAAAAGAAATAATATTATCGTGAGCGTCGGAACGTCAATTGAGAGATGACTTATGGTCTATGCGACTTATTTGAAACTATTCTCTATGGTTAAGTATTTAGAGTAGATTATTGCTTGCGTTGTTCGTCGGCATTTTGCCGCCAATCACACCCGCATTGAAGTTTCAGATCGCAGCGGGAAAGAATCGAATTATTATTGACGCAAAGGGCTTTTGTAAAGGGCTTTTGCGTTTATGAATAATCAACAATAACGTAGTGCATATATACGATAGACAGGAATTCATTTTCACAATGTCGACACGCCCTTTTTATAAACTATATCTGCATCCTTTGCAAGTACATTAATATACAAGCGTTCCTTATTTCTTTACTTAATTTAAATTTATCTTCTTTATATGTAACTAGAAGACTACGGACTAGACAAGTCCTGTACACACGTCTTATATCCTAAAATTCCAAACTTTTTTATTAAGTTTGTGAATCTAGACTATTCTCGAATCGCCCTGAAGACACACAAAAAGTTCATTAAAAATCGATCCACCCGTTTAGGACGAGTATAGTGACATACACACGTACAGAAGAATTATATATATATATATATATATATATATATATATATATATATATAAAGATGATTTAGCTTGCATATGTTTGTTAAAATTCAAAAACTAGACTATGGACCGACTTGATATTTGTTCACAACACAGCTATTATACAGGAGGGCGTACTGATTTCTGATATGATTTAAACACAATAAATCGCGATTCAGACCTATAAATATGCTATAACAACCGTAAAAATTATGAGAAACATATGTTATATAAGTTTCATTATGTAATTAATAAATTTTCGTCGTGTTTTATCTTAAAAGGTCAAAAACACAACGGTGTAGAATTGAGTTTTAGGAAAACCCAATTTCGTATAATGAAGCTCATATATCCAAAAGAGCTTAGCTACAAATAAAACAAGTATTATACTGGATAAAGTGCATAAAAAAGCTATGGCGAATTTTCTGACAGCCCGATTGAAGTTAAAACGAGTTATATCGTTTTGGTTTCCAACCGCACGTTATATTTTGTATAAATAAAAATACGTCGAAGAAATCAAAATAAATTTCAGCAAAAATAATATTACGCTGTCATATAAAATAAACAATTCTGTAACAATTGTACCAAAGTTTTTCAATGAATGTTTAAAATCTCTTATCGCATGTTTATTATAATATTAAAAGATTTTTTTACAATATAATATTCAAGATAACAAAGACGTAACATTGCGTGGCGTCAACATTACGAATTAATTTTATTAATTCGATAAAAACTGACTGGTGGCGCCATCTCTTAAGCGAGTAATATTAAAATCAACGCCATCTCGTGTACGTTAGGAAAAGTACATAGATATGCACGCAATGAAACTAATTAGATCAAGAGATGGCGCTGAAACGAAACAACCAGACACCTACGTTTTTCGTAAGATGGCGTTGCTTAGGCAAAATTACCTCCATATAAAAAAATAATTACCTGTACAAATTCTTTGTAAACTCTCTTTTAAGATGACTCTAATTTCATTATGGATATTATGTTGAAATAAAATTAAGTCGCAATAGATATGTAGGGTCGATTACTTTGAGTTTGTTTTTACACGTGTAAGTTGCGTAAGCAAAAAGAATAATGGCACTGTCAAGTTGTCAACACAGACTAAACGATAACTTATTTAAAAAACAACATTCGTATTTTATAAAAAAAAATATTCAAGTGTTATTTTTTGTAAGTATATTAGCTTTTTTCCTTTGCTTTTAATTTAATTATAGGGTGAAATGACCACTCAGACGAACATAGTTATTTTAGTGCCGGATAGCTGGCGCTGGTGGCAGCGATTTTTGTTGTGCATGTGGCAGCATTGGAACACCGACTAATATGGTTACACTAGTAACTGATAGATGACGTTTATTTAAATTAATTACATTTTGAATCATAGATCCAATTTATTTGAATCTCACTATTCTTAACAAAATTAAAATTGTATGTCGCGTCGCGTGTTCCCACGATGGTAAACCGACAAATTTATTTACTTTTGCTCAATAATTGGCAAAACCTATAACCAAAAAAAACATAGTACATCCAAGCGCCTAAGAATAATAAAAATCATAAATAATAAAAAAAAAAACTTTTTATTGACGTATTAAAAATGGTACATTTTTCTAGGTGGAGCGAAGCGCACCGGGTAAGCGCGTATTATATAAAATATGACAGATATATCAGCATACAATGATAATTTAAAAATCATCAAGTGATACAATTAGAGAAATAAGACGCAAACTGGGCGCTGAGTAAAAAC